GACTCAGTCGTGACGGGTTTTGGTTTTGAATCTGATCGGTTGAGATTTTGGCGCAGTTGTTTTGGAACAATCACAGACAGTAGTATGGCAAGAACCATGCATTTCCATTTTCGACACTTATTGAATACTGCTCTATTGCTATCAGTAATCTTACATCACGTACCAGGATTTTTGTCCCAGAAGCGAACTAGAAGTTTTTGGACGCAAGAAAAAAAAACCAAAGAATGCACAGAGCGCGTATTATTGGCAACACCTGTAGTAATGAGACAATTAAAAGTTTGATATAGCAAGGATACTCGAGACCCTCGAGATCACGCCTTGTGGGGACACCGCTTGAGTTATAAATGAGCACGGAGGCCAAAAGAACAGTTAAAGTAAATATCTGATTATCGTCACGGCCTACACCGGAGGCAGCGTCAATCCCTTCTGAATCCAACAGCACTACTGTAATCTCCCTGCCCCTTGCGTCCTAGATCATAAAAATTCCAAAAAGCTTCAGGATGCGACAAAGAAAATCATTAGCTATGTTACGACATGCAAGCTAGCGCAACTGCCTTTTGGTGTCCGACATGCATCAAGAGCGAGACTTCACAACTGTGGATAGGGTTAGTGAGAAGGAGGACGATTAATTGGATAATGGATTTTGGGTCTTTTCGATTTGAACAATCAGTCTAATTTCCTACTGATCAGCTGTGGCTAGACTGGTTATTCAGGATTTCTGAAGAAAAAAAAATTGAATTATGCTATAGGTGGCATATCAAACTTTACAAATCTCACCGATCCTTTACAAAAGTGCCGTGTATATGACCATCATGTGTTTTGTAGAGAAAATAAAGGTACAGGAAATGTTCCTAAGACCACATTAAGTCTTCGCATCTAGCTAACCTTTGCAATGTTTACCGTTAATTCTACCCATCTACGTGCTTTTTCTCAGGAAAATTCAGCTGCCCTTAATAGGGTGGTGTAATCCACTTCAAGAGGTTTCTTGTTTCGACACACAGTCTAGGTTTCACAAGCAGAATAATCTAAACATTGCAACCTAAGTACATGTAAAGTTAATTTTATAAGGAAGATTCACTCAATTACCAAAGCAAAGGTTATGGCTCACACCTTATATTTCTCAGGCACGATCCACATCCAGATTCCCAAGGTCTCCGCCACCATTTTGTGCCCAAGTGGGAATACCTCCGGTTGATCAAAGATTTCGCTTAAAATGTAAGACTTTCCTTTTCTGTACGGACCAGCGATGGACACGGTGCAGACTGGGCCTGTTGCACCATAACAGAGGGCAAGGACCGATTAATTTTATGATTGAAAAAAAACTTGGTAGTGTAAACCACAAAATACCACATTAGCCGGTATTAATTTATCGGATTGAAAAAATTAAACAAGCATATGTCACTTATCAACCTAACTTGCACTTAAGTTCAAAATAAATAAACTAAACATGCAAATTTTTATTATCATTATCATCGGTTTTATCATTATTATCATTATCGTTCTACGTCTAATTAATGTTATTATTCGTCCAGAAATCTTTGAAATAAAGCTAAAGAGCAATTAAGGAAATCTAAACCTTTAATGGTATTTATATCTAATCAGAATACTATCGGTTAAAATAAGCACATCTTCCGTGCCCCTCGCTGAGAGTCATTGATATAGCACAAACTAAATAAGCAAATGCTTCATTACCATTATCATCATTTTTATCATTATTATCATTATCGTGTTAGGTCAAATTAATGTTATTATTAACATTATTTTAATAATTATTTTTATTACTACGAGGTTAGTTTCTTATTTCTAATTTTTGGACCAGAGAATTATTTTCCCGTTAAAAGTTCATTATACCATTGTCATCATCGTCATCGTCATTATCAAACTTATTATCAGATTTTACATTCATTCATGTATGCTTTATTTGTTTAATGGTCTAATTTGTCGTTCTTCTATCTTTATTCTTAAATCCTGGTAGTAAATATTTGCCACAATAGAACTTATAATCTTCGTCAATACGTTTCAAACATTTCCCCCTTTCCCCTTTTTTTTGAAAGTTTTCCTTGTTGCTTACAGGAAAATTGGACCTCCTGAAGTAAAAAACCTCTCAACCTGATTGAGAGGGGGCGGGGAGTTTCGACAGAATTAGGCAAAAGTTGTAGTCTATAGTGAGACTCGCAGCAGAACGACTTGCAGGTAACAGGCACAGCGCCCTCCACATTTCCTCTGGTTATTTTAAAATTTTTTACATTTGAGGTATTTCTTATCTGAGATAGAGAACAGACCCGTACTTTTAATTTTCCTCAGTTCCAGAAGGCTGTCTTCAACAAAGTACAATGAAGAACGCTTCTCCTCTGTTTTAACGCATTGGCGAGTTTTAGAGTTCCACTGATAGTTATTAGGAAGACAGAGTGGGAGTGCTCCAGCTGAGTGACCTACTAACAAAAATAACATTATTTTTGTTCATATTTGTTTCTCTACGAGAGTGGCTGGCGTAATTATTTCCAAAATTCACAGCAGAAAAAGAAACAGTAAAATGTCGTTTTTCCACAAATGGCAGTAATGTAAGAATTCGATTGGCCAATTTGCCGTTATCGATAAGAGTACAGAGAACGCTGTTGGCGTCAACGTGTCACGTAATGGTAACGAACTGAAAGAATCGTTTCATTTGGCATCGATTTGTGGCTGCGCTTCGTGTGTCCATAAAATTTTGACCAGTGTGATGATTAATATCGTTTTCGATAAGAGTACAGAACACGCTAAACCACTGTTGACTTGTTAAATTTACTGGGGTTCGATTCCCCATGGGAACCTAGATTTTCTTGTTGTCCCACTCTCGTGTGAAGCCTAAAAATCCCTATTCGTGTCTTAATAAAGTCCTTTCAATTTGTGAAAACACGTTAGGTGAAAACCTGAACATGACCAAACATTTTGCATCTATTAAAGTTGGAAAGCTTTTTAAAAAAGTGCCAAGCTTCAACCAATATAATTAATAATCATTTTTCAAGACCAAATAAAAAAACACTAAAGTTGTCTTCATTACGTTGCAAATTTGAGTGTTCATGATAAATGTTAATTATAATACATTACATACCTCCGTGAGCACTTTTTAAAAGGCGTGCCTCCTCTCTCTGGGGTTGTCTTTGATGAGAAGAAGAGGATGACGATGGGGCTTCTCTCGATGATAGTCTGCCATCTGGTTTCTCTTCGCCGATGTGAATCGGGAACTCCTGTCAATACAAACACAGCCACATGAGAATTATCTCTCTAAACCTCAATAGCCAGTGATAACTCAAAACTCAAAGATCGATTAAATATAGATAAATTTAAGGCGGTGATATACCTAGGATAGCCTATATACCGATATAATCTGCACTCTGGTCCCCTCTGTATGAGGAGTGGTGTGGTTTCAAATAAGACTGTGGATAAGGATAGCTCTAGTGATCAATTCTGTCAACACTCCCTTGACATCAAGTTTTGCGACCAAAACCTTAGCTAGGCTGGCCATTGAAAATTTGGCATTCGTTTAGGTAAATAACTTCAACACATCTTTCCAATAACAACTAACTTTGTGTCATTTAAAAAAATGCAGGGAACAACCATTAAAGATGGTAGAATGAACTTTGGCCTATAAAATAATGTGGAAGTAATACTGCATGTTCAACAGTTGTACTCACCGCTTTTCTTGACGATTTTTTATCCTCCATAAGCGAAAGTTGCATTGCCTTGGCTAAAGCTTCTTCTTCACTTTCAGTCTGGTATGCACTCCATGACTGCAGATCAAAATAGCGATAACAGATAAAGAAAAGCCGGCAAACTAACTAAATAGTCACCTTTCATCATGAAAGATGACTGTCTCGTGATTGACCAAAAATGCAATACTGCTGCACGAGAGTTTCCGCTCATTCTTTCGCATTTGCCAATTACGATCATGTTGTCATAGTTCAAGCTATTCAAAATTATCACATATGCAACTGATAAACAACATATACGAACAATGGAAACACTATTTCCGAGGCACATCACTAACTAATAATATTTCTTTTCGTCAGACTCGCGCGAAAGACAACACTGGAAGAAGTTGCCTTCAGTGTAACATACACCATTACAGATACAGTCTTTTGAAAAATTAGCTTGTGTCATTTGTGGCCAAAAGTGTTTGCTCCACTGCACTTATCAAAGTTAATTTTTTTCTGTGTATACATTAATTGCAACAAATGAACGCTTACCGCCATCTTTATCTTCCCCTTTCACTTCTTTAACGAGCTTTCTTTCCACGAACTATCTCCACTGTTTTAAACACTAAACACAAAAAAGGAGAAACGCGTCCAGTTCCCCCAAGTAAGATTGGATCGATCGAAGCGTAACGAAAATTATGAATCTTAACGCAATCCAATTTTTTTTTTAATTTCACAGAACTTGATTATCAAATAGTGGGGAAGGAAAGCTTGAGGTATTGATAGAGATGTAAAATACCCGGCTGAAAAGAAAATCCACAAAATCTGAGTGAAAAAGCTAGATAAAAACATCAGTCAATCGAGTCGCAGCATTTCTTAGCTTTCAACGACAGCAATCGTTATCAATTCACAGGAATAATACAAATTCTCAGAAATGTTTACCTCCTGTGATCAAAGTTAACGCTTTGTGTAAAGCAGATGTACACTTATCAGCCACGCAATGGATGATCTTGTAAATATAAATTTTCCTATCATCATATCTTGAATTTCTTTCGTTATTGACGATATGCTTCTTTTACCTTTTTCTGGGTACATCAGCTGTAGGATATTTTTGTCGTTTCTGGCCACTAATTGTTGCGTTACTCTGTTTACGACATTAAATGAATTTTTATCTCAATTAAATTGGAAATATATTTCTCCCGAATTTTTTGGCCTATACGTAGGAAAATACTGCTAACTTCAAGAAGCTTTTTGGAAACGAGAACATTTGGCAAATATGTGACCGACTCTAAGGCTGCTTCATTAACGCAGAAAGAGTCACGCTGCTAGTTTAAGAGATAAACTCTGATGGTTCTTGAAAAAGATAGAAAAGATAGAAAATTGAAATTTCTTTTTCTCCAACCTGTAGGATTACATATAAACATCACACTTTCAGCTGAAAGTCATTCGAGGTTCTTTCTTGTGGCACAGTCTGGTAGAATATTTACCATAACGCAATAAGAAACTGCTGTTCAATTGATCTCCTAACAAACACGAACACTTGTGGCAGGGCCTCGAGGATTGACAAGTTTTGAGATCAAAACTCAGTTTTAGAGAAAATAATTCTTGAGGTGTTGTTCCAAGAACCCTGTCATGGTATATGTGACGATTCAGCCTACGAAGAATACCGATCAACTCAAACAAACAAACCACCGCACGAAGAAATGAAGAGCACCGGAAGGAAAATTGAAAGCAAAAGTAGATTCGCCATTTCTTTTACGGCGTTGGAAAGATAAGTGATAACTCAAAGTTACCTTTCAGCAACAGATTATTTACTTTAAAATAGCACTGTAATAAGCTGTATAGCAATAAAAGTATTCCATTTCGTCTTTTTCCCGGAATTCGTGGCTGATTCAAATACTTCTTGATAAATCAATATCTAACCCACTTTTCCTCGGTTATTTTTATCCTGTTTGACTTCTGTGGCAGAAAGCTTTCGCAAAAATTACTTTGTGCACTTTGCTATCACTCACATTTAAGTAAACGCTTTTTGTCGGTGTAAAGAAACTGAAAGACAGCTCATATTCAGCACTGGTTCCCTTACCGTGAATCGAGCGACTCTCCAATGGTTACGATGTTCGTGTTCTGTGACTAGCGATACTTTGCGTAGGCAGTCAGGGAAAGCTTCAAGTGGAGTCGATAAAGGAGTATTTACTTTAACTATGACTAAGTTACCGACCACCGGACAACAAACAATCCGACAGATATAGTTCCAACGCTCCGTATAGCTTTACAAAGTCGTATGTGAATTCCGAACTCTAAGTTTTTCTAGGAAATAAATACTTACCTCGTACCCAGTACACACCGGCCTGCGAAACGGAAGTCTTTTACTAAATCATGTCACGCAACTCGAGTTGGTTTATGATGTTGATAAATATTAGTCTCTGTAGTCTATGCATCTCGATATTGGCATCCTTTTACCAGGACAATGTCTTGTGCTTTTTGCCAGCTAGGCTATGGAGCACTCATGGACTGTTTTGACGTGCTACAGAAAGAGGCACCTTACGGATAGTCTTACAACTGGATGGCTGAACACAACAAATGTAGAAGTTCGAAAGCTTTCCTCAAATTTTAACGTTGGAGGTATGCATACTGCTTTCCCTAAAACTCAAATAAGAACACTCCTAGTTCATCTGAGACATTCGATTATTGCGTTGACGAAATTTGTCTAGGGTCACCACATACATCTGGGTGTTATATACTTATATACCTAAAAAGCGAAAAAGGAAACACTAAATACTTGTATCGAGATATGCACTGCAGGTTTGCACAAATCATTTGCTTTTTCAAAATGATAGGCCGGTTGGGCATTGGGAAACGAATAATTGAAACGACAATGGCTTATTCTACGTAAACTGGTAGTTTGGGGGTAACGTCTCTTTCAATGTCTATAATATTTTGTCACGAAATATTATCATGATCTGCCCCAGATTGCAGCAGTGCCAAATGTGTCAACAAACAATATGAACAAATATGGCTTCAAATGCCTTGACAAGTTGAATCATCTTCCAAGAAGGACCAAAGAAACATGTTTTTCTTTTGTATTTTATTATCAATTTTCAAATTTTAATCTGCCTAAAGCATGAGTTGAAAGAAGGCTTATGATCATGAAAGTTTATCAGTGGTAACCACTGTGACAGCTTGAAGAATGTCACGCTTGTAAATATACAAAGTTAGGTGAAATTAGACATGTATATCATAGACAATGTACAGTTTACTGGCCTGAAAACAAACTTTGTGAGCATAAAAAGCCTAAATATAACTAAATAAGGCCTTTTTTTATTTACAAAAGGACTCAGGTTTTTTTTTCACTGATCTGACAGTTATTTATTAAAGAATCATTCATTGAAGCTGCTCCAGTGCCAAAAAGTTAGTTAGCTAGTTAGTTAAAAAAAGGTCTTATTTTCTAATGGAATTATATGATTTGAAAATACAGTTATTAAAATTGCTGTATTCAAACATGAATAAATGAATAATACTGAATTTTGAATCTTTAACTTAGAACTGATCATACAAACACTCCATTCAGTAAAAATAAAAACCTAAGACCTTAAACATTTTATCTTAAAAGTGCTAAATAGAAAAAAGATGAAATTCTCTGGTTGTTCAAATAGTATTTGGTCAAATTACAATCAATAATAAAGCAAAATTTTTGGCAAATTTATGGAACCAAAATATTTTAATTTTTTTCTCTAAAAAAGTTTTGAAAGGCAGCCAATTGACCAATCAGAGCTATATCAGAGTAACCCACTGAGCATGGAAGGCACACACATTCCCACCGACCCAGCAGACAGGCCACAAGAATGAACTTTCCTCAAACGCTTCAACGCCAGTTGATCGAAGGGTTATCCAATATACACAAATAAATTCCACGCAGATAATTTTTTTTCAGCAAGCATTACAAGGATTGAGAGCTGAAACTGCTCTTAACGAGGCTGAAGGCTTGCCACAGATTGCAACCAGATTACGACTTACAACAGAAATTTTGATAAGTTCATGTGTTGATATTCTATGGCGTTTTGAATTTTGATAAGTTCATGAGCTTCCTAGATGTGCGTTTTCTTTGACCTGCAGGAGATATGATTGTTCAGAATGTCTATTAAGAAAATATTTTTCATACATAATGCAAATATGCATAATTCCTCTTCTCATTTTTCAAATCACAAGAGGAACTTTTCTTCAGCTTACAGAGTCTTATCTAATCTTATTTAAACACCTGAGTGAATAACGCTATCCAACTGATAAATCGATCACGATTTCCAGTGGATAAGAGTTAACAAAACTTACTGCACTATCCACCGGAAAGAGATTTATCTAGTGGAGAGAGTTACCTACCCCTCGAATAACTGGGGCCTAGGGTAGGAATAGGGGAAAGGGGGGGGGGAGGGCAAGAACAGCAGTCAACACAAAGAGGAATTGACGAAATGAGAATTGAAGACACGATTTAGGCATCATGTTATTGTCATCCTTGATCAAAATCATTAATTTTTTTTGCAAAACCCTAAAAAGTTTTAATCCTATATAATTTTCACTGGTTACTTTAATGAAATCCCAAATACAGTTTCGTATCATTTAACTTCTAGTCCACGTTCTGTTTCTGCAAGCGTATTCAAGAAATCTCTTGGAGATAATAGTTACATGATACTGCAGTCAAGAGACTGCGCAGCTTCGGCAATGCTTACCACGGCTGAGGCCACTGGCATAGCATAAGGTGAACACGTTGGATGAAGAGCTGCTACTTTGCCAACCACTGGTGCAACATCTCCCATAAACTTGAGGACTTGCTTCAGGATTTCACCCGTTGTAAGATCCCTTTGATTTCTTTCGTTTTCTGCCAACCTTTGGTGTAGATCCCGAGCGATTTGTGCCCTCGAAGTCATCATGTCTGGCAGATCCTCGTCGTCTTTCAGTGTGGCGTTGAAGTATTCCCCGCCGCTTGATTTGATGCCACCCACACGAGCTTCCATCTTTATCAGGAGTGCATTTACTTCTTCTGATTGCCTTCTTTCTAGCTCCTTCATTGACTCTGTTAACTCTTCTGGTGAAAGTGTCTCCATTTGATCAAGAAGCTGCTCTTTCTCCCTTTGGTGTACAACGATCATTTCTGAAATGCTCTTCATCACTTTCATTTGTTCCTCGTTTTCATTTTGCACCTCCAGTAGCCGCTCGCCAAGGGCTTGGTTTTCTTTGATGTAGGTTTCCCTTTGCTGCTGGGCTTCTATCAGGCCTGCCTGCTGCATATTCTGCGATTGTTCGCGCTCCTTTTTCATCATTTCTTCCTTTAGCAATAGCAGCCCAGCTTTCTCCTTTTCTGATCTGGCAATCAGCATTTGCATCTTAACAGAACAGAAACAAAGACTATCGTATTTCTGAATGCACAACGAAAACAAATAAAGGAAACAATTTAGCTTAACTCAAAAACGTTGAAAAACATTGCTCTTGGCGAAATTCAACCCTCCTCATTACTATGCAATGATGAAATGAGACTATTTCATTAGGGAGAAAAAGGTGTATTGCTATTGTCCAAAATTGAAAGTGAAAACTGGGAGCGTGCGTTATTTTGTAGGTTGTGACATCGATTGTTTTCTTCCATCTTTCTCAAAGGAACTAGGAAATCTAACGAAGATGAATACCTCCTTTTCCATTGTTCGATTTTCCTGCTGCAAACCAGCGTTGACTTCCTGAAAAACATAACACAAAGTAGGCAGCTTTGGATACCTTATCGTTCGAGTCATGAATAAACTACGAAAAGGCAAACCAGGATACCTCCAGAATGAACATAAAAGCATAATTGGTACCCATTCAGATTTAAGTGTCATGGAAACGTACCGCATTTATACGTGGATAACTTAACTCCAAAACCTTTCACCAATACCGAGATTGACGAACTTACCGTCATGTCAGTCTCTTATGTCGTTCAGTCTTTAATCTGTCGAAGAAGTTTTTTTTAATAACCACATTTCCATTCTTGTGTGTGCACAACGTACCTCAAGCCGTATCCTTTCCCGCTCTATGAAAACTGCTGCTGCTATTTCCCTCGCGGCTCTCTGGTCAAAATCTTTCAGTTGTTTCAGTTTATCACGGTATTGTTTTGTATCCGCAGCTAGTTTCTGTAAAAGAGTATGGAAATATCGTGAGAATTTCCACGGAGTTTTAATTATAGGTCAAACATGTACAGAACATCATTTTTCAAGCTTATCCATTTGAAAGTAACGATGGTGAAGCAGTGCTGAGTAACTGGTGACCAATGGGAGTTTCTATGTTTAACATATAAACTTAGGGATCAATCTTAAATATCTGGAGAACGATCAGAATAAGATAAGGACTTCTTACGGAATGAAAGTCGGAGAACGCCTCAGCAATGGCATCTTTAGCACCCAGTGCGCTTGCCTCGTAGTCATCTTTGATTTGTCGATAAACGTGCAGCATGTCATCGAATGAATCTAAACTTTCTCTTCCTTGAAGCTGCTCAATGACCGGATCTAGGTGTTTTGTTTTTAGTTGTAACAGAAGATCATCACAGAATTGTCTTGTTAACCTTGAATTCTCAGTCTTCCATTCGTTCAACCGTTTCTTGAAAAAACTCTAAAATTGAAATTATAGAAAGAAAAAAAACCAATTCAATCGAAGATAATTTTATCAAGCATCCTAAAAGATATTAAATTGCGAAGAAACGTAGAGGATACCTCTTTCTTTCAAACAAAATTAATATCTTGCTTCCTTTAATGAGTGTATTAATTCACCATCGGTTTACCAGGAGAACAAAAGAGCCTAGAATGGTCAGTAAACACTGATTACCAAAAAAGTCTCTACAACAAGTTCTTGCAGCTAATATCATGCGACTAGTCCCTTTGAGTACTACTAATTACTGATGTTGTATCAGCTTACTCCCTTCAGCTATGAATTTACTATTCGAAACCGTCTCCCCAAGGCAGAGACTTACAGTATGGATCATCTTTGTGAAGAAGAAGGCAAAATAAATGGCCTTCGAAAATCAGTGTCTTAGCTACTGCTTAAGGGTGTCACCTTCAGTTCCCTCAGTTGCTTCTCCACTGTGGTTGTTGAAATGCCAGACATTTCCGCCATGAACAGATCTTTAGTTTCCTCCATTGCGGATTCGTGACACAAATGTATCTCAGCATTATCACATGGCAGTTTTAAGTCCATAAGCTCGTTATATTTCTGTTGACATTTCTTTATGGTGTCTGAACACTTGTCTTTAACAAACAGATCCCACGCGACCTGAACGTTTGGAACCACATCAGGAGTGTTGATGGTACTATAAATGTAATGGGTGACCAGGGCGGCAAGACCTATGAAACAACAAACACTTAGTACTCAGTATTCAGTTCTCAGTATTCAGTACTGTGATGCTCCTTTAAGTTTGCACAGTCTGACAAGATTTACAGTCTTAACGTCGTGAAAGGAAGCAAAGGTAAGATAGCATTGGGTAGTATTGGCATCAAAGGAATTTGGTTTAAAGTGAAAGCTAAAAAAAACATAAAAGTATAAGCAAATTAGGAACTGAGACCGAGAGGATAGAATATATATATTCAGAGGTATTATCAGTGGCTGCATTCGAGTACAAACAGACACACCATAGACTTACACCTATTAATGTTACATAAAAGTTCCAATAAGAAAGCTTAACATTTTGCATCCAAAGGGAGTAATTTGTGAGATTTCCTTCACCTTAAATTTGTATTTTTTGTGCAATTTTAAAAGAACGTTGAAGAAGAAAAAGTTCATAAAATCGTACTTTCCACTGTATCGTTTGAGCTTACATACCACAGAAGGAGGCCAATTGACAGATTTCGTTCGAGTTTGAGTTTCCTGTGTTTATGCGGGCAAGAGATTGAGAAAGTAGAAAACTCAAATATAAACAAGAACAAGTACCTTCTCCAGTTACAAGCTCTCCTTTAGTGCTGCTTTGTTTTGGGACTAGCATGGACTTTATCATCTTCTTAAACTGCTCTAATTCACTC